TTTTTTTTTTTTTTTTTTTTTTTTTTTTTTTTTTTTTTTTTTTTTGGTAAAGCAATGTAATCTTTGGAAGCATATATTGAAGATTATTCTGGAGCATCTACTGCCTTCCCAGAAATGTTAGAAGTAATGAAAGTGCTCTATAGGTGAACTAGGTATGTTTAAATTAGCTAGTTAAATTAATACAGTCAATTAATTACTGAGAATTTTTTTTAATAGGCACCTTCTGCTTTCATCTCACAATCAGAGACTCATGAATTCAACAAAACTCGTCCTATGAAACTGGTTTCACTTTATTTAATTTTTTTTAATTATTATTATTTTTTTTTGCCTTTGGGCATTTCTTTTGCTCACCAGAGGAGTGTGTGCTGTTTAAGATGCCTGGAACCCTCTGAGAAGGGAGGTTTCTCCCCAGCTCCCTGTATCTCTGCATTAGGAGATCTCCCCACCTCACTGTGTCTCTGTTAACAGATCTGCTGTTGTGCTATTCCAGGAAAGGACTGTACCAAGGAAGGACAGGCCTCACAAGGATATTGTCCAAGTAACCTGAGGATACAGCTGGTGTAATGCCAGAGTCCCAAGGTGTCCCAAACCCTGTAGCAGTGGGCTGTGCTGTCACTCCAGTTCAGGGAAGGGCGAGAGGCTGGTTCAGTGTCAGTGCAGCTCAGTAGGATGAAATCAATCAGGTGATCAAAACATCTACTCCTTCAGCAGGTGTTGATCCACAGGAGGTTCAGTGTTAAGGCTCTAGTAGGAGTCACACCTACACTCCACAGAGTGATCTTTAGGCACAGAGCTGTGCTGGTCTACAGTGATTTGAATCTGCCAAATCTGGCCTTAAAGTGTAATGTAACAGAAGAGTTTGCCTCTTATTGCTGCCTTATATGAAAAATAACTTCATGCTAAACCAGGGTGAAAAAGGAAGAGGTGATAATCTATTTGAAATATCAGACTTATCTGGCAGGTGATAATCAGTGCATTCCAGAAATATTAATATGCTGAATTGGATTGACAAGAAAATTATTCCTCATTAGATGAAATTAATCTGAAGAGAACTGAAAGTACATGATAGCAATTAGTAGTTCTTCTTCCATGTCACCAGAATCAGATTCCACTATACTAATGATGGAGGGGGAAATAAACCAGAACACAGCCCTTGATTTATATACTTGGTGAAGCAGATCCTATACATGCATATGTATGCACAGCCATTAGTGAGCAGTGACATCTTAGCCCTTAATGAATCCTGGAGAGCTGTTGCTTGTCAGAAAGCACTCAGGTTAGGCCAACGTTTGCAGCTTTTGCTCTTAGCATACATTTACAGTAGGTGTAAAGACAAGGAATGTATGGAAGAGGGTAAATGCATTCCTATCTACAATGTTATGTATATTTTGTTCCTGTTATATTGGCTTTACTTCCAAAGTTGTAGTTTGCAGTATTAGTTTCTTTTTATTGGTATCCTTGCATATATATATTCAATAAATGAGTTATGAATTTCATATTTGCATATCTGTCCTTTTTCTGAAAGTATAACATTTTAAAACTGTCATTTTAATGCATAAATGCAGCATTTCCTATTGAAGTTACAGGCCCAGGAAGATGTTACCAGGAGAGAGATGAGAAGGCATCATGCTTTTATTATGCAACTTAATGGTAACTGCTTGTGTTCTTGACTCTGTGCCCTGGGGAAGCTGCTTTGGATTTACCACTGGTTAATAATGCAAAGTGACTGACTCACTGAAGGTTCCCTTTCTCACCTTTCAAGAACTCTTTTCTTTTTTCTTTTTTTCTCCTTTTTTTTTTCTTTTTCAGGAGTGAATTCATTTAGACTAAGGCACCAAGGGAATGCAGGGTATGTCATATGTCCTGGTTTCAGCTGGGATAGAGTTAATTTTCTTCTAGCAGCTGGCACAGTGCTGTGGTGTGGATTCAGTATAAGAATACAGTTGATAACACACTGATGGTTTAGTTGTTGCTAAGTAGTGTTTAGACTAAGTCAAGGACTTTTCAGTTGGAGGACAGGAGAAGCTGGGAGGGCAGGGAGCCAGGACAGCTGACCCAAAGGGATATTCCATATTATATGGCACATGCTCAGTTCATAAACTGGGGGAGAGAGTTTGCTGGGGCACTGCTCGGGAACTGGCTGGGCACCCATCAGCGAGTGGTGAGAGTTGCATTGTGCATCACTTGTTTTTATATTCTAAGTATTTTATCCTTATAATCACCATCATTATTATATTCTTCCTTCTCTGCCTCATCAAACTGTCCTTATCTCAACCCATGAGTTTGCTCAGTTAACCTCTTCCAGTTCTCTCCTCCATCCCACTGGGAAAAGCAGTGAGTGAGCAGCTGTGTGGGGCTGAGCTGCTGGCTGGGATTCAACAGCAGCGTGAATAGTCACACTGCAGACAAGCAGCTGCATCCAGATGCACTTTAGAACCATAGAGATGTAGCATAAGAGATTAACAAAACAAAGGATCACTGGGAAATTGCTGGATTTGTCCAAGTATGTAACTGCCTTGAGTAGACAGCAATACCTTTCAGTGATTTTTAAAGTATCAAGAAATGTGCTGGGAAAACCCCAAAGGAGGAAGGGCACTGTTGGTCTATCGATGAATATTTTATGTCATATGAATATTTATTATGTCATCACCTTAAACAAGGAGTTGATTTAAAGAGCGTAGTAGGTAATTACTGTGACCTGAAAACAATCATATCCCCAGTCAGCACAGACTTTGGTGTCAGGAAAAAATTGTTAGTCATCATGTTCAGTTAGGAAGTTGCCAAATGATTGGGTCTTACTGATTAAGGCAGAGAATCACAGACTATCCCGAGTTGGAAAGGACACACAAGGATCACTGAGTCCAGCTCCTGGCCTTCCACAGAACAACCCCAGAGTGTAATTATTGATGCTGTGATTCCACAGCCATCTTTGCAAAGGTTTCCTGAAGAAGTTAATTTAAGACTTTTATTATCAAAGTTAATGCTGGGAGTAGTTTCACCAAATGGCTTTTGATGCCATAGAAATCATTACTGGATGCATACTTACTTTATGTGCTGAATGGTTTTTTGGTTTTAATTCAGTTGGCTGAGATCTTTGAAGGAAGCGCAGGATATTGTGAAGGAGCTTTCCAGTTTCATGGATGTGATTTCTCACTGGAATAGCTGGTCATTGAAATCTTGGAGCAATGGAGGGGGGGCCCACAGGCACAAGAGCAGAAGACTTTCATTGTCCTTGTGTTGTGTGACGTCAGGGCAGAGCAGTGAATGCTCTGAGGGCTCTCATGTCCTCACACAAGCTCTGCTTACTCTGCCCTGTGTAAGGCGTTGCAGCACAAGCTCAGCTGTAGTTGTCCCTGTGCCTAAATGAGATACCCCATATGGTAAATTACTTCCAAACATTAGAGACAAAGGGAGTTGCTGTAACCTCGGAAGGCTCAGCTTGTCTCTGCTTCCTCCTGCCTGTTCAGAGCTCAGGGTCAGTAGTTTAAACTGGAAAATTAATAGAAAAGGGAAACTATTGGAGAGCTTCTAAAAGAAAGATCAAATCTTGTCAGTCTACTGCAAGGTAACAAGCTGCTTGAGCAGAGGAGGAGCAGTGGGCACAGCTTTATTTTAAGTGACTCTGTAAGAAAGCAGGGAAATGTGTACTGACACCAATTTAAAAATGAGGTTATAAACCCTGTTTGGAAAACCCTACTCAGAGTAATTATTAATAATTCACAGAGCACAAGGATATATTGAGTGAGATTCTCTGCAGTCCCGCTCTGATAGATTATTTGGTATTTGCATTAACACTTTAGAGATGGCCTATGGTGATTAAATTGTAGAGAGCACCAGACTTGAGCTAACTACTTAACTGAGCAGAGGACAATTCAAAGTGAACTTGACAAATTCAAAAGTTAGCATGTGATTCACTAAATGCAGCTAAAACGGATTTGACAAATGGGTATTTGTACATTTCAGCAGAGGCCACGATCAGCTGAACAAATACAGGATGGGACAGGACAGGCTGCTACAGTAGCAGTTGTACAGAAGGGTTCTCCTGGGGTTACAGCCAGTCACCAGCTGAACGTGATTCAACTGCATCCTGTTCCTGAAAAAAACCCAAATGTTGTTGTGGAATGTATGAACAGGAACTTAGTCTGTAAGATACATGGCATGGTCCTTCTTCCTTATGTGGTAGGAGAAAGAAAGCCTTTCTTGGAAGGTGATATCCATCTGTATCTACTGGACTTTGTGGAAAATGTGGAGCAGCTGGAGATAACCA